CTCAAAGAAAAGGAGAATATACATGAAATGATGAGGAACATAATCCCATCTTCCATGGAGTGTTCACAACTGAACCTGCACAGCCCCCAGTGACAGAAAAGAAGGTTACTCTAGATAATAAACTATTAAATATTGAGGCAACAGTATGGGACGAAAGGAAACAACTAGCATCACTAGACGAAACTAAAGCTATTTTTGATAATGTTTGACAAGATAATGTATCATCATGGATGTTAAAAGAAGTAGCACAGGCCCTTAGAATACTTCTTGCACTGACCTCTAATGAGTGACTCACAAAGGGTGAGTGACCCAGCTGCTAGAAGAAGGGAAATGCGGTACCAATTTACAAGAAAGGAGATAGAGAGGATACATGTAAAGTGATTGTGTGTGATCGACACACAATCAACTTGATAATAGTCCAGGACGGAACGAAACGTCGTCGTCCCTTCATCTTCTAGATTATGGTTTGGTCAACATTCTTCAGCCACGTTATTGTGACTCATCATCTGCACACAAAACTTGACTTCTGGCCTGAAACAATTTTAATCTTTTGTACAATTAACTTTGTAGATGCAAGGTGAAAATAGTAACAAGCAAATCTAAACATTCGCAGGCTTATAATAGCACATATGGTCTGAATAAGCCCCAAGAATGCATATTAGGCCTAGGAGAGATTACATTAGGTTGTATAGTTACTGGTATAGTTTTTAAATTGTCATTTAAATATTAAAAATTATGAAATGTACGGTAGACCAATAGTTGTTATAAGTGTTTTCTTTTTTGGAGGATATTTTGATAATGTCTTATGCATTTCATGTGACATTTTAAATGTAGTCTAACATTGACTTTTTTATTCATGGATTTAAAAAGTTAAATTTCATTTCAATTGTATATGTATAACTGGGTTTTCCAGTTTTCTAAAGTTACTATTTTCATATCATTTTGCTCTCTTTTCATCTAAGTGACTCATTAACCAAATTTTAGACAAACTGGGTAATATTTAGAGGGTTACACACTTCAGTTCCTTTTCTTACTTAAACAAACATTGGAATTTAGTCGATAAGAAGTAATTTACGATTATGTTGGATGAAGAAGATCCCGTTAAAGTGTTTCTAGATGATCAACACATGAAAATGGTTAACTACCTAGAAAAATCTTGGAAGATGCAAACCATCATCGAGAGGATTACAGATTTTTTACATTTGTCTGTTCTCTTTCCTGGAGATTGTTCTGGGATTGAATTCGAATTTAGGTCTCCAGTTGCCCTACATTAAGAGTGGTGGATAACAAGGCCATCTATATACTTACGATTGTCCTGTTCAATGAACAACTGGAGTTAACTGTTTGAGTACTGACAGGAATCAGAAAAGTAGTATATTTTTTCAGATTTACAAATGTCCGGTTGTCGCATTATGCAATTGAAAGTCGATGGGCACAAAAGAATGACTTGGACATGATTTAACATGTGAACTGTTACTCAGATAAGGATGTCAAGGACACTGCTTTGAAGGCGGCTAGGAGGACTTCTAGTGTGTGTGAGAAATAAATGTTGACTTGCCTTTCCTGGAAGAATGTATTACTCTGGCAGAGAAAAAAAAAACATTCCAGAATTTGGAGAAGCCAGAACGGAAGATATAATGGAAACAGTTAGAGAGAAAACCTTGTCTTTCAAAATAAAGACTTGAGAGACCTCATCTCATGCCTTATAAAGACAATCTTTAGATTATTTGGGTTGGCGACGTGAAGGAATACTGCAGAGATGCCATAAACAACTCAGTCAATGTCTTTAAAGTGGTGAAAGACACTGCAATAAGGAGCATTGCCCTGATAAAGAAATTTAACGAATCAGTCAGGGACGAATAGAAGAAGCATTTCCTATTGAGAATCGTTAAGCATCACAGAATGTCCGTCACCCAATAAACAAAAGCAGGAGTTACATCGTGTGGGCTTAACTATTGTGATTAAGTAAATGATACTAAGTTAATCATAAAATTTTTAGATGTTTAGATTTGTCACTGCTGCAACTGATATCATTACAACTGTTACTACCACTGATATCATTACAACAGCTACCACTGAAATCAGTACCCCAACTACGACTTATATCATTATCACAGTCCCCACTGGTCTCATTACCATTGCTACTACCACTGATATCATTACCACAGCTACCACTAATATCATGTCCATAGCTACCACTGATATCATTACTAGAACTGCCACTTACATCTTTTCCACAGTCACCACTGGTGACTGTGGAAAAAAATTAGAGAAAATATATTAATTCAGGAAAACTTGGCTTATTAGGCAAATCGGGCCTTGCATAGTAGGCCTTGCATATATTCACAGGCTCATTATAACACCTTAGTTCTAAATAAGGCCCAAGGAGGCATTTATATATATATATATATATATATATATATATATATATATATATATATATATATATATATATATATATATATATATATATATTAGTATATTTTGGTAGCAGTCTTTCCTGTAGACATATATTATTAAATATGACCGAAAAAGTAAGATTAATAATTCTAACACGAATTTTCTCAATCTTTCGTACATTTCGTTTCACTGTTGGAGGTAAATCAAAAATCAATTCTCCAAAATTCATTTTTATTTCTAGTCTGACGCGACACGAGCGCGTTTCGTAAAACTTATTACATTTTTAAAGACTTTAGTTCACAAATACACAACTGAATAGAACTTACACATCTCCGATTTTATATCTACATTTGAGTGAGGTAGAAGGGGTGATGTGACATTAACACAAGACAGAACAAGATGTGGTATTAATAGGGTATTAATTTCATCAACACAAGACAAAACAAGAGTATTAATAGGGTATTAATTTCATCAACACAAGACAGAACACGAAACAATAGATATTGAATAGAAGTGTTTGTAGAAAGCCTATTGGTCCATATTTCTTGATGCTTCTATATTGGAGCGGAGTCTTGAGGTGGGTAGAATATAGTTGTGCAATAATTGGCTGTTGATTGCTGGTGTTGACTTCTTGATGTGTAGTGCCTCGCAAACGTCAAGCCGCCTGCTATCACTGTATCTATCGATGATTTCTGTGTTGTTTACTAGGATTTCTCTGGCGATGGTTTGGTTGTGGGAAGAGATTATATGTTCCTTAATGGAGCCCTGTTGCTTATGCATCGTTAAACGCCTAGAAAGAGATGTTGTTGTCTTGCCTATATACTGGTTTTTTTGGAGCTTACAGTCCCCAAGAGGGCATTTGAAGGCATAGACGACGTTAGTCTCTTTTAAAGCGTTCTGTTTTGTGTCTGGAGAGTTTCTCATGAGTAGGCTGGCCGTTTTTCTGGTTTTATAGTAAATCGTCAGTTGTATCCTCTGATTTTTGTCTGTAGGGATAACGTTTCTATTAACAATATCTTTCAGGACCCTTTCCTCCGTTTAATGAGCTGTGGAAAAGAAGTTCCTGTAAAATAGTCTAATAGGGGGTGTAGGTGTTGTGTTAGTTGTCTCTTCAGAGGTTGCATGGCTTTTCACTTTCCTTCTTATGATGTCTTCGACGAAACCATTGGAGAAGCTGTTATTGACTAGGACCTGCCTTACCCTACAGAGTTCTTCGTCGACTTGCTTCCATTCTGAGCTGTGGCTGAGCTGTGGCTACAGCTGTGGCTGTAGGGAAACGTTATCCCTACAGACAAAAATCAGAGGATACAACTGACGATTTACTATAAAACCAGAAAAACGGCCAGCCTACTCATGAGAAACTCTCCAGACACAAAACAGAACACTTTAAAAGAGACTAACGTCGTCTATTATTTTCTTGTAGCCTCTACAAATGTAATTGTACACAAGAACAAAATTGTTGGAGGCCAGGGTCCAGATTCACGAAGCAGTTACCCAAGCACTTACGAACCTGTATGTCTTTTCTTAATCTTTGGCGGCATTATTTCAATTATTAAACAGGTAATGAACTCTAAAGTACAATGAGGCTGTTTATAAACATTACACCAGTTGATTGAGAGGTTGTCATGCATGTAAACTGTTTAATAAATGTAACCAAAGCTATCAAACATTAAGGAAAGATGTACACGTTTGTAAGTACCTGCGTAACAGCTTCGTGAATCTCCTGAAGTCAATTTTTGTATGCAGATGATGAGTCACAATAACGAGGCTGAAGAATGTTGCCCAAACCACACACTAGAAGATGAACAGACGACGACGTTTCGGTCCGTCCTGGACTATTATCAAGTCAATTGTGTCGATCACTCACAATCACTTTACCTGTATCTTTTCTATTTCCATTTTTGTAAACTGGTACTGCCATTGCCTTCTTCCAGCAGCTTGGCCACTCACCCCTTTGTGAGTGACATGTTGAAGGTCATTGCTAGAGGTATTCTAAGGGCCTGTGCTACTTCTTTTATCATCCATGATGATAAATTGTCAGGTCCAATAGCTTTAGTTTCGTCTACTGATGTATCCATTCTTCCTCTACGGTTGCCTCAGTATTTAATAATTTATCATCAAGGGGTAACCCTCCTCTTCTAGCACTGAGTGCTGTTCAGGTTCAGTTGTGAACAATCCATGGAAGCTGGGATTATGTTTCTCATAAATTTCCTCATTATTTCATGTATACTCACCTCCACTTTTTCGTAGGGTAGTCACTTGGTCGTTCACTGTCATTTTCGTTCTTATATGTTTATGTTGGTGCCTTGGTTGTATCTTGGCTTAAGAGGAAAGTAACAATTTTCATGATTACTTCCTGGGATTCTTTATCAGAAAGAAAATATGCTGACAAAGTATATTTATAAATATTCTGGGAGTGTATTTATGTAATCATTCATGGCTCTGTTGCATCTATTCCGGTTTTCCACTGTCCTTCGAGTTCTGTATTTCTTCCACAGACTCCTGGTTTTCATTTTTGCCTCTTGGCCCTATCTGATATTGTAAACTGATGCATAACTTGTTTACATGTTAGAAATTTACAATGGTAATGAAATAACGAATTCTCTCAACGAGTTTATTTTCCAAACAAGATAAAACAGATTCCCTCTGATCCCGTTCCTACCTAAAACCACTTGCAGTTCTTGGAATAAAACTTACCCATAAACATATAACACACTTCCGTATTATTATCATTACTTCTGTGCGGGCGAACTGTGAGTAACTTTAAGGTACAGGATTAAAGTTAGGCTGGAGATTAGGAATCCTGATACGGGATTAGAGTGAGTCCCAAACATATGTTCTGAAAGGCTGTGCAGGTCCGGCCGAGGTCACCTGGGTACCGTCTCCACAGCAGGTCTGGAACCTCCCACCACCGTATGGACGTCTTCTCACTGTCCCTTCCATCTGCCACCGTCGGATCCACCGGTATACTGTGGTGAGGCTCACTCCCACCTCCAGGGATATTTCTCGAGCTTTTAGGCCACAAACCCACATCCACACAATTTGGGAACGGTAAACCGCTGCCAAGTTTTGCTTTGCTATTCGCCTCTCCATGAAGGTGGGTCTGTTAAACAAAATTATCATTTGAATGGTATCTTAGCAATAAAGTGAATCACATTATGATACTGACAGTAAATGTATGTTAAATTATCTTATCAGTGGTAATAATATCAGTGGTAGACATGATAATGATATCAGTGATAATGATACGAGTTGTGACAGTGGTAATGATACCAGTGGTGACTGTGGTAATGATATCAGTGGTAATTGTGGTAAAGATATTAGTGTTAGTGGCAGTGATAATAATATCAATGTTGACTTGGGAAATGATATCAGTGATAATTATACCAGTGGTGACCGTTGTAATGATATAATTGGTTGTTGTGGTAATGATACCAGTGGTGACTTTGGTAAAGTTATCAGTAGTAGTTGTGGTAATGATATCAGTAGTCGCTGTGGAAACGATATCAGAAGTAGCTGTGGTAATCATATCAGTGGTAGTAGTAATGGTAATGGTACTAGTGGTGAATGTGGTAATAATATCAGTAGTAACTCTGGTAATGATATAAATCGTAGTTGTGGTGTTGGAAATTTCCAACACTAATACAATACTATTGTATTATAATAAATCAGTATCATTATGTACTAACTACAGTAGTCACTAAAACTTACTAACAGTAATGTTCACATAAACTAACCATTATATCTACATATGGATGCTGGAATTCTTACGAAACCAAGCACCAGTATTGCGTCAAATTATATCTAGTTAAACACATTTATAACCAGTGTGCTAGAGAATTGAATGTGATTCTCTAAAATCATCAGTATTCCGTGTGATAATTATTTATGGATAACATAACTCCCAAATAATTCTAAATCGAGAGTTTTTAGTTACAATTGTTATCAAGTAATAGTTTTTCTGTCACGCGTGAATGCCATGGAGAAAACTAAAATCTTCTCCATTTCTCGTTTACCACCATAAGACGAGAAAGCAATAATATTTAAATCCCTAGAATTACAACCCAGTCTTTATTAAAGTATTTCAACCACAATTGCGCGAAATAGTATTATTCGTGATAACTAATGTCTGTGGTGAATGCGGGGACGCGGGTTGAGGGAGGGGAGAAGCCATTGTGTGTGTGTGTGTGTGGCGAGCTCGTGTTGCGGAGTGAGCAACGAGAGCATACGTATTTGAACGGGAAGTCGTGACGTCAGAGTCTGAGACACGTGACGTTGGGATTATCAGCAAGAATTACACTGGTACTCAACCTTGAACGAATAATTATTCTTCTACGTGATCTACAGTGCTCGGTCAAATAATAACGCGTCGATATTCAAGCCAAACTCTCAACCATGTGTACAACATTGTGGAAGTCTGAGACTGAGACGCGATACCGGCAGACTTCAGCATACACTGCACCCGTCGATAAGTATATATTTCTTTCTTGATGCATCATTAGAGATTGTATATTTCGTGAGCAGTCTGTCGTTACATCGAATGACGACTAAAAATCCAACGTTAGTACCGCACTAATCTTTATTTTCTATTTCATAAATATTGAGATTTAAGTAGCCTAGTTCAATGCTACGTAATATCCTTTAAATTACAGCTCGTATGTGAGGAGTCAACGAGCCGTTAACTACATTCGTGTTATTCACCTCTAAGGGTTTCTATGTGGAGATCCTGAGATCACGAGGACGAGCCACGAACGATGTCATAGAAATCGTCTTAAAGCTAAGACCTTTTGTACACATTTAATTACTACGATTTATTCTACATGTTCCTGATATTATCATATTGAATGCTTGTCATGTGAACTGGAGATAAAATGATTTTATGAATGATTTATAGAATGAATGAATGAATGAATGAATGATATGAATTCATATTGAATTATGATTTTTTATTTATGAATTTTTATTATATAAAATGATTGCAATTTAGATGATTGCTCTCTAATTTTAACAATCATTAATATTTTCTATTTGTATTTACCTATTGATTCTATAATAATTTGGTCACAATAATCTTTATTCAACAATGAACTGGTGCACGAACCACACTAGTTCCGAGACGTATATGAAGTTCTAGCAATACCCCCCAAATGTAGGTGTTTGAGGCTCTGACTTTAGTTAATTAACCATACAGTCCATTATTTATTTAAGTGATTATTCTTTCTAATATTTATCCATAGACACTGGTTCTTTCTTGTGTTTCTAATGATCACTTCTTATTAGTTTCCCTCTTTTCTCAAAAGTGGGTGGTCCTTCGTTATCAATTTTATTAATTAAATAATTAAATAATTGAGTCAAGCCCCAGATATCCCACATGTGGCAATGATATAAATCGTAGTTGTGGTACTGATATCGGTGGTACCTGTGGTAATGATATCAATGGTAGGAGTGGTTACGATGTTAGGAGTAACTGTAGTAATGATATCAGTGGTCATAGCAATTGTATGATATCAGTGACAAAACTAAATATCTAAATGATTAACTTAAAAACATTCATTTAATCACAATAGTTAAGTTTGCAAGACGAAACTTGGGTTTTTGTTAACTGGGCGGTGGATTTTCTGTGGTGCTCGACGATCTTCAGCAGGAAATGTTTCTTCTTTTCGTCCCTGATTGATTCGTTAAATTTCTTTATCTGGGCAATGCCCCTTAGCGCAGCGTCATTCATCGCTCTAAAGACATTGATTGAGCTTTTTATGGCATCTCTGAAGTATTCCTCCACGTCACCAACCCAAACAATCTAAAGAATGTCTTTGAATGACAGGTGAAGAAGTCTCTCAAGTCTTACTCTTGAAAGACTAGGTTTTTTCTCTAATTGTTTCAATTATTTCTTCCGTTTTGGCTTCTCCAAATTCTGTAACGTCTTTTCTTTCTCTGCCAGAGTAATACATTCATCCAGGAAAGCCAAGTCAACATTTATTTCTCACACACATACCAAAAGTGTCTTATAACCTTCAAAGCACTCTCCTTGGCATCTTTATCTGTACAACAGTTCACGTGTTAAATCATGTCCAAGTCATTCTCTGGTTCCTATCGACTTACAATTGTAAAATGCGAAAACCAGTCATTTGTGAATCGGTAAAAATAAACTACTTCTCTCATTCCTGTCAGTTCTCAAACAGTCGATTCCAGTTGTTTGTTGCGTACATATATGGCCTTGTTATCCACCTCGCTTGATGGAGGGCTCTGGGAGACCTGAATTCGAAATCACTCTCAGAGCAATCTCCAGGAAAGAGAACAGACAAATGTAAAAACTCTGTAATCTTCTCGTTGACGGTTTGCATCTTTCAAGACTTTTCACGGTAGTTAACCATTTTCATGTGATGATCTAGAAACACTTTAACGGGATCTAAATATTACTCAATTTGTTCAAAAGTTGGTTAATGGATCACTTAGATGAATAGAGAGCAAAATGATACGAAAGTAGTAACTTTGGAACATTGGAAGACCCATTTATACATATATAATTGATTTTAACTTTAACTTATTAAATCTTTGAATTACAAAAAACAATATCAGTGTTAGACTTTCATTTAGAAATGAAACATGAAATGCATAAGACATTATCAACCCATCCTACAAAAAAAGATAGCACTTATAACAACTATTAGTTGACCATACATTTCATATATTTATCATTTAAATTACATTTCAATAAGTATACCAGTAACTATATAACCTAATGTAATCACTCCAAGGCCTAACAAATGTCTTCTTAGACCTTATTTAGAACATATGTGCTGTAATAAGCCTGCGAATGTTTTGATTTGATTGTAGCTATTTTCTCGTTGCCTCTACAAAGTTAATTGAACAAAAGATTAAAATTGTTTGACGACAGATGGCAATTTTTGTATGCAGATGATCACTCACAATAACGTGGCTTTAAAATGTTGACCAAACCACTCACAAGAAGATGAAGAGACGACGACGTTTCGGTCCGTCTGGGACTATTATCAAGTCGATTCTTTGTCGATCACACACAATCACATTACATGTATCCTCTATATCTCCTTTCTTGTAAACTGGTACTGCATTTGCCTTCTTCCAGCAGCTAGGACACTCACCTTTGATGAGTGACTCATTAAAGGTCAGTGCTAGAGATACTCTGAGGGCATGTGCAATTTCTTTTATCATTCATGATGATATATTGTCTGGTCCTATAACTATAGTTTCGTCTAGTGATGCTAGCTGTTTCATTTCTTCCTCTACTGTTGCCTCAATACTTAATAGGTTATCATCTAGGGTAGGTGCCACCTGATTAGGCTGTCACCTTTTTGGCAGCCTAGTCACTTGATCGTTCACTTTCATGATTATATTTGAGTTTTGGTTGTGTCTTTGCTTCAGAAGCATTATAATTTTCATAGTTACTTCCTGGCATTCTTTATCAAAAATTAAATATGCCGACAAAGAATATTTATAAATATTCTGAGAGCATGTTTATGTAATCATTCCTGGTCCTGTTACATCTATTATGGGTTTTCTGTCCTTTGAGTTCTGTATTTCTTCCACTCAGAAATTTCTTCGACAGACTATTTTTACAGTCTGAGGGCATGTGCAATTTCTTTTATCATTCATGATGATATATTGTCTGGTCCTATAACTATAGTTTCGTCTAGTGATGCTAGCTGTTTCATTTCTTCCTCTACTGTTGCCTCAATACTTAATAGTTTATCATCTAGGGTAGGTGCCACCTGATTAGGCTGTCACCTTTTTGGCAGCCTAGTCACTTGATCGTTCACTTTCATTTCCTTCTTTCATGATTATATTTGAGTTTTGGTTGTGTCTTTGCTTCAGAAGCATTATAATTTTCATAGTTACTTCCTGGCATTCTTTATCAAAAATTAAATATGCCGACAAAGAATATTTATAAATATTCTGAGAGCATGTTTATGTAATCATTCCTGGTCCTGTTACATCTATTATGGGTTTTCTGTCCTTTGAGTTCTATATTTCTTCCACTCAGAAATTTCTTCCACAGACTATTTTTACAGTCTTTTCTGTGCCTCGGGAGCGATCGGTCGCATCAGGCCTCCTTCCACATGGATT